GTGTGTGTGTGTGTGTGTGTGTGTGTACATATATATATGCCCTAAAAAGTAAACTCTACAATTTTATTTGCGTGTTTTCTTCACAGGGCCTTTTGTGCTGTCCGCTGGGAGTTTATATGTTTTCCTGCTGTTCATCTTGTTCTACCGAGTAGACGTCATTAATGGGTTTATGGAGGTGGGAAGACATTAAATGCACACTTTATATTCTTTAATGTAGGATACAGCTTTATTTATCACCTCAGGCTCCATCTTTTCTTGGTATTTATTCATGTAAATGGAGATTCTGATTTTGTTTTTGACTTACTGTAGTATTGCGCGTGCATAAAGCTTTAAGGCAGGGCTGTCTTGGTAAGACTAACTTTATAACTTTTTCTTGTCGCTTCATTGACGAGTGTTTCTCTGTCTGTGTAGATTGTTTGCATCCCGTTTGAATGGAGGCTAAAACTTTTCCTCATCATCTTAGTCAATGCTGCTGTGTCTGTTTTGGTGGAGGTAAGATCCACACGATCACACTTGGGTAACAGCTGATGTTTTCCCCATGTTCAGATTTTGTTTTCTCATGCAGTGTGCTCATCTTTATCTCGTTTAACTGGACAGCAAGATCAGTTTTGTGTTGTAAAGCAGAAATGGAAAGAAGCAAAGTGTGAGGTTTTTAATAGTTAACCGTTTAAAGAATGTGACTTTATTTTGTTACAATATGTGCATTTGTGGGTATTTTACTCCACATGTTTGTCTAATTAAGGATGCTTTTCAGAATTTATTTCTGTAAACCTTCACGACACTGGATTATTAATGCCTGCCTGCTGACTCGTTGGAGCAGTATCACTGTTTCTGCCCTCCTTTTAGATGGCTGCCCTTGCATTCACGTACTGCTTAGTATGCCCCGTAGATAGAGCCTTTTCCTAAACTAACAGTGCAGTTTCCATTCATCTTTGAAGTGAATTGGAGGGACAAAAACACAGCAAGCCGATTCTGTTTCATCAAGAGCTTGCAGTATTTTTTTTTTTAGACGGCAATAACCATGCACGGCCTTCTTACTAATAAGCTTAATTTTAACCTCACATGCAATGATTAACACTCAGTTTCATGGAAGGAAAGAAAACTGCTATACTTGGTACTTTAAAGCAGTGTGGCACTAAAAATCAGTTGCGCACCTCTATAACAGGAGCTTTGTGAAATCAAACCAGACTCTCTGTAATTCTTTCCCCTGCCCACTGCACCATCCCATAGACCATCATCCTTGACATCGTCTTACGGAAGCTTGTGTTCAGCCGAGACAAACAGGGCAACTTTGGCGTCACTCCTGCCGCCCCGGCACCACAGGTTGGAAATATCTGACACCTTTTTCTCTAGCCCTTTCTTTTTACTCTTGTGTGGTGTTCTCTCTCTCTCTGTTCCCACTTTTTTCTTCTAATGTAACTGCTAACCACGTGCATGTGCAAAACCTCAGTCTTCTGATCTGTACGCTCCTCCCTTTGTCCCTCTAACGGGCACTCTGGTCAGGGCTTAAAAACGTGGTAACTCAGTTTTATTCAGGCTGAGCCACATGACATCAAATGTTGAAACTATTGCTGGATGTCATAGATTGTTGCTATTGAAGCAGCGCTGGCCTTCGGTGAAGTAAAGCCATAATTTCATCATATCTAATGTGTGTAGTTTTAATGTTTTTCTGTACTGTAGGTCATTTAAATAAGTGATATGCTTCCATGCAATAGACATGCAGAATGCTGAGCAAAACATTCATCTACTCTTATTAATAACAACAATAATAATAATAATAATAATAATAATACATACTTCCCATTGCCTAGCAAGTATGACACACACACCCCTCCCCCCCACCGCTCCACCCCCTGTGGTAGTCTGCAGGCCCTCTGCTTGCTGCCCTTCTTAGCATCACTCAACATTGTCACTGGATCTCATCAAGTGTAGTATGTTTGTATTTGAATAGTGAGACCTTAAATGTCTTTGTCAGTGTGTGGTTTCTAAGTTACCCTTTTGTCTATGTTTTTAATGTAAAGATCCTTTGTCTGTTTGTTCTTTGAATCCATGAGCTTGTTTTTAAGGAGAAGGCTCAGTCTTTAAGCTGTCTGTAGACCAGAATCATGCTGAATTTTGTTTTAATCTGCATGCACGCACAGTTGCTATAGTTTATCAGTGTCAAGAAATATGCATATTACAACTTTGACACTATATGAGCATATTTATATTTTGCATGTAGCAGTTTTGTTTGATTTGGCTGTTCAAATATTCATTAAAAAAACACACACAAACTTTGTCTGTCAGGGAACCTTTCTGCAGTTTTACTTATTTGATTATTTTTCATGTTGTGGTATTCACAGGGAGCCAATGATCTGTATGGACACAAGTGTCTGTCCTGCCAATGTTGCCCCCGCAAGATGAGACCCAAAGCTCGCTACATGCACCTTGCCCAGGAGCTCAGTGTGGACCCTGACTGGCCTCCGAAGCCCACCACTACCACTGAAGCCAAGCCACGCCCAGAAAATGGCTCTGCCTATCAAATCATAATCAACTCCTAGCACCCCACAGCCTGTACTAGCTTATTCAGCTTCTACCTTTCATACAGGAAACATGCATATGAGGTGTGTTCAGTAAATTTCAATGGAACTGTCATGGGATAACTGCTTCCCTTCACTGTTCGTGCTCCAATGCTGTATAGTTTCAGATACTGTATTATTGCGCAAAAAAAATCTATGACACACATCTACCAAATGAATTTACATTGAACTTCGCTCAGTACTCTTGCTCTCTTTGGTTCACCCCCACACACGCTCTCAGGTCGCTTTTTATTTATCGTTAAAGGTGCAATATGTTGAACACCTTACTCTCGAAAAGGTCAGTGTTGTTTTGCAGAGTCATGCAGCAGCTCCTCTGGAAGTAGTGCTGCTTTTTACTTTGCTTTTACTTTGCAAAGAAGGATAAGTGCAGCAAACAGCACAAGGCTTAAACTGACCATAGCAGGTTGGGCTCCACTGTTTTACTCCTTATAAAAGAAAAAGCAATCTCTGGGAAGAGCTCTTCCTTCCTTCATGTTAGACTGACGCAGGCTTTATGCAACAGTGACTCAGTGTCTCACCTTGAGATACAGTGCGGTATTACACTTCAGTACGGGCTGGCGCTACCTCGTTATCATCCTTACTTCAGTAGCTGTCATACAATCTTCTGATAATTTGTAAATTTTTAAGCAGTTTTAAGCTACCAGTCTTGTATGTTTCACCTTTAAATGTCACAAATTGAAATCCTCCTTTATTACAGTGTCTTTACTGAAACTAAGCAGCATTCAACTCAGTCTAGAAGGAACATTGAAAAGCCATCAAAATGGTGCATTGGCCCCTTCAAATGAACGTTTAACACAGGTTCAGCATAACCTCGCTTTGTGTGTGTGCAAGGGGGTGGAAAAGAGAGGCCGGGGCCCACTACACTCCAGAGCTAGCCTCTCACATACGTGTTCTGTCAGAAATCTCAGTTAAGGTGTTTAATCCTAATTAAGTTATTCCTTTTATATGATAGTCATAAATAACAAGGTCTGCAGATTACAATATTCACCACAATACTAGAGTTTTGATTAAGAGTGGAATGGGATGTGTAGATGTTTCAGAGAATGGAGAAGTACGGCGTTGGATAGGATGTGTTTCTCAACAGACATTTGCACATATCTTAGCTGATGTGAATATTGCAAGCTCTAATTGCTACTGTGTAGTGCTCTTTTGCAGCTAATGTAGATACATAGAATTTCAGTCAGCTGTGGGGAGGTTTGCAATTGTATACTGGCTGCATTTAGTGCTTTGTGCAGTTACACACCCATAAGGGGAAGTACCTTTATATTCCTGCTTTGAAGTAAAGACACACTCATATCTAATTGGCTATCGGAGATCATGTTAAACATCTGAAGAATACAGAATTATTTTTTAAATCTACCATCAGATAAATTTGTTCCATGATTTGTTGACCTGCTATAATTAGATGTGACCTGTTTCAAAATCAGTCTGTTCTCGGGAACTTCTCATTTCCATGGTTAGGAAGGTTAGGGAGAGTGTTTTTTTACAAATTGATTGAAATTAAGTGTAATTTATGCCAAGTTTCAGTCAGCTTTCAGTCAGGCCATTATGGCTTGATAAATAATAGGGGGGAAACCTTGATGCTGCAGAAGGATATGATTATGTTTAAAAAAACAAACAAAAAACAGTGAATATTTGATGTACTTCCATTATGGGTTTTTTTTGTTTGTTTGTTTTGTCCAAACATGCTGCCTCTAAAACAAATGACTGAATTCTCATCTATCTTAACAGTACTGGCATTAATGTTAATATATCATACTAATAGAATTTACATAGAATATTGCATCTTTATAATAATTGTCAGGATCATATGCTGTTAACGCTGACTGGGAACAGCAATGCCTCTGTTTGGCACCTCCCTATCCATCTATACCAGCGGTCCCCAACCTTTTTCGCACCACGGACCGGTATGCCCGACAATATTTTCACGGACCGGCCGTTAAGGTGTCGCGGATAAATACAACAAAATAAAACTAGTACTGGTACTGAAAAAAGAAGATTTATTCATAACACACGTGAAAAGACCCGGGAAAACCGAGTTAACGATAAAAACGATAACAAAATAACGCTGAAAACCGATAAAACCCCTGAAAAGCATAAATTTCACACCTGAGCCTCAACTCTCGCGGCCCGGTACCAAACGACTCACGTACCGGTCCGAGGCCCGGGGGTTGGGGACCGCTGATCTATACTGCTTTGGCCTTCTAGTGCTGAAAATCTAGCAAAGTCGCCTCTACTTACTGTGCTTCTCTCTACTCTTTCAAATTGTTTTCTAGTGTGTAATAAGCTTTATAGAATTATGGGCTGCTAGTGGAACTTTAAATCATAAATATTTTGTTTGCATCTACTGTATGAGCCATGTCCTGTCTGCAGAAAACATGGAAAAACATGCATGAAACCAGCTCTCTATGGCCACGCTTTGAAGATAGTTGATGGTTGCAATGCTAGAAATAGCACTTCAGTTACAAAGCTTAACTATAGAATTAAGAAAGATTAACATTACATTTATGTATTACAAAAAAGGAAAGAATCTACATCAGAAACGGCATGAATCTGTCTGATTATTGTGGACAGCTAACCACATGCATGATACCATATGAATCTAAGCATCTGCATATTCAAAGCCTTTTTAGAGTGGCTCCAAAAAGGCAGAAGTACATGCTTACATTTTCAGTTTTAAAAGGAGATTTCTTCCTATGGAAGACTGATTACAATACTGTACTACATTATAGCAGCTGTGCAACTGATCCACTCGCTGTTTTAAAGCAATCATGAAATGACAAAACCTGTACAAGATGGATGTTTATGCAGCCAAATTTCTATATTACACGTAGCCTGATTGCAAAGAGTCAAGAGCTGTATTTATGCTCACTCCTCTTTATTTGGCATTTACAGTAATACTCCATGAAATGTCTTTCAGACTCACCCCACTAGATTTTGAAGGAGCTGTAAATGATTGAAGGCTCTCCCTAATAAAATCTAATGGGGAAAGTTCAGTCTTTTAAAATGGGTTTCAGTCATTACTGATCAAACAGATGGATGAGAAAGATGAGCATTCTCATATGAAAGAGTATGAAGATTTTTTTTTACATTGTGCATTTATAGCCATGGACGTGGAGAAATGGGCAAACTTCTTTACAGGCAGATTAAAAACCAGTATAGGAAGACTGTAGTATCACTTTAAACCAACTTGCACAAATCAGGTTAACTGTATCAGTGTAAGTGTAAAGCACAGCAGGTTGCCTTTCATGAATTGTAGTGGTTCGGTTTCTTCAGAGTGCTCATTAGAGATTATGTGACGCCGTACAGAAAGAAAAACGATTAAAAAGAAACTTGATTCCTCCAGGGGAAAATGGAGCAAATGAATTCTCAGACATCCTAACAGCTGTTATTGTCTGACTCTTCTTCAAGCATTTATCTGGTTCACTGATTGTTTTTCTATAAGTTGGGCTCCATGTTGCATAAACCTTTCCTTGGATGCATTGTTCATTATTACTTTGTGCGTAAAGAAGGCTCTATAGATGGGATGCAGATGTGATGATTTGTATTCATGCGAATTCAAAGCATGGCTCACATTGGCATTTTTGTGCTCATTAGTAGAATGGTTAAAGTGTGTCGTCATGTTGACTGAAAGCGATTTGGCATGTGTGCTCTGACACTGGTCACATCCGTCACACGACTTTCTCGCTTTTCTATATTAATTATATATATTTTTTTCTAGGTGACCTGTGAGGTTAAGAATGAATGTAATGCAAAAAAAACCTACAAAATTTAATCCAATGCAATATTACAATTATTGATATTTCCAAAGACTTTTCATCACACTTTTTTCTTTCCAAAAAAAGACTGAGTGAAAGAGAGAGGTTTCATCTGTCCTGTGTCAGTTTCAACAAAGCAAAAGACGGTTTTTAGTGGTGATAATGTTAATAATGTTAGAGGTTGGATCATATATGAGATGTACATTTCTAGTGTGTGCAGAAGAGTCGAAAGTTATAAAAACAATTATGGTTTTTGAATTATCAAAGGGCTGGTGTGTCTTTTTCTACTTTTTTTGGTACTGTGTTACAATCATTTGTCTATTTTTGGATTATGGATTAATCTGTACTTTCACTTTTGTTATGGAGTTGCATTATCTTTGTTTTGGGGGCATAAATCCTGGGCATTTATTTCATAGTTTGAATCGAGTTTTGCAAAGTATGATTAGGGCACTTGGATTAATATCATTTGGGCAAAAACGTGTTATAAACTTCATCCAAACCTTTAGAGTTTGGATGAAGTGAAATGTTCACCATCATAATTTCAAAGATTTCTCTTTTTAAAAAAAAAAAAAAAAGAAGAAGAAAAAAAAGATCTGTTTCTGTTTTGTTTTTCACTTTTTCTTTGGTTTCTCTTGTGTGTAAACTTTGAATTAAATTCTGTCACAAAAAGGGAATTCAGCTGGGGTAGGTTAGGCATCTCTGCTTAGCTCATTCAGAATATGAGCATCATCTGACAATCTTTGTCCTGATCGTCATGTGTATGTATTTTACTTTTTTTTTTTTTTGTCTAGAGTTTTTTAAACACTTCCATGTAAAGTGTAAATGTAATTTAGCAGAATGTGCATTGTTGTTCAACATCAGAGGCCTGTTGTCATACATACATAGCTGCTTAGGAGCAAAATGTTTCAGTCTCAGCTGCATCATCACTGTGCACTTCAACACAAACAGTTCCACCTATAGATGTGCAAAGTGTGAGTACTACTATTGCTTTTCCCTGTACTCGGGTTTTGCCTTTTACTGTAACAACTGTATAGAAGCAGTGGATCTTATGCTGAAACCTCTATGCTCTTAAACAGGTACAGGACACCAACTGTTCAGTTAGCATTGGCCTCTTATTTAAACCATGTATTTAAAACACACCACCTAATGTCATTTAGATTAAATCTAAATTTAATCTGAATTAAATCTGAGTGAATGAACACTCGTGGATGTCGTTTCCTCAGGGAACTGGGTCTATTTGATCATGTATTTGTTACGAATTAAGAAATAAAAGTTGAAACCCAAACTGAATGGGGGGAAAAAACCCAGTTGATTTAATAACTTTATCACAGCCAATCTGGGTTTTGTTTTTGTTTTTTCTTTCAGGGCAATTTATTTGCTGTGCTTATTATTTGCAGGTCCCTTACCTCAGCAAGAGGGTATATGTATTTACTTTTTAGCAGAGATGTAAATTGTTTTTAAAGAATTTTGTACTTTATAATTTATTTCTTATTTATGTTAAGTTCTTTTTCCCTGAGGATTGTATTTCAAATTTATCTTGATTTCTTTCTTTTCAATAAATGTTTTTTAAAGCAACCTTGATGATAATAGTAATTTTCGTGAATAGGATAATGTGAGGGTTGAAATGCTACAGAAAATGAAGTGGAAGAAGATTTAACAAGAATCAACCTGAGCAGAAAATACATTAGCTTGCCTATTTACAGAATTGAACCCCCAAACTGGGATATGGGTTATTTGCATGTAAAATTAAAACATTTTAAAATATATTACTTTTGTTAGTGTTGTGTGAAAGTCTTGAGTCACCTCTCATAACCTATATTTTGTTTCCAAGGAGCCAGACTTTCTTTATAATGGGCTATGACTGATTAAAGCATAAAAAGACACTTAACTCAAAGGGTAAAGCAATGCTGTCTGCTTGTAACAGACAACTTGGTAAAGAACCAAATTAAAATGGTCGTTTTAGGCAAGGTGCAAGCAGCCCATCGCATTTTTCTACCCTCTTTTTACTTGAATCTACGTAAAATGCCGGAGACGATAATTTGCGAGGCATGAAACCGTACTTTTGCATTAACAGGCAATTTCTCCAGAAAATATCTCAGCGTAAAGTGCAGTGTTTCTTTAAAAAACTGAGGAAAGAGTTTCAAGTCTGTTACTTCTTTTTTTCCTCGACTTGTCCTATCTACATCACATAGACCGTATGCATTTTTTTTAAAAATAGGGAAAAATCCAACAAAAACCTGAGATCCGTGTGAGCCACTGTTCATTGAAGCTTCATCTGAAATGGGCAAAGGCTGGTTATCAAGAAGCCATCCTTAAGGAAGGGAAATGGAGACGAAAGCCTGAGGTATTTGAAAAGTTACGCTTTCTGTGCATCTTGTGAATGTAATGACTAAAGAAGGAAGTCATCTAGGATGGTCAAACTTACACTATAGGTGCATGCTCTAGTAGCCTCCGAGGCACCTGTTGTTGTCAATTGACATTACATAAATAACATTGAATTATATTGAACTATAGAGACATTTAAAAATCGAGAAAACAGTATAAAAAGAAGAAATAATGGCAGCTTTATTTCCTAAACATATGTAGTGCACATTGTTATGGTTATCCCTAAAAACCCCAACACAGACGACGAGGGTGTCATTTGAAAAGAGATATTATTATTATTATTATTTTTATTTATTTATTTATTTATTTTTTAAACTTTATTTAACAAACAATGAGTATACAACATACGAACAGATGAACTATACAAAACAACAGAACATTAACACAAAAAGCCAAGGGTAAAAAAAGGTAACAATTATAAGAATACACGCAAAAATTCACATACATATGTTGTTTTGAGCCTTTTTGTTGGTGCAGTCTGATATTGATTGTATGTACATTTCCACATCCTTAAAATAATGACAGAAATATGGTGTTTTGTTAGTAAACTTACATTTATGGATAAAAAATTTAGCTAAAAGTATTAACAAATTTATCATAAAAAAACATTTATCAGAAACAGAATAATACATTTTCCCATCGTAAAGAAAACTCCCTTAAAATATGGACAATAACAAACCTGCTAAATTCTTCCAGAATCTCTGTGTAAAAGAACAGTACCAAAAAAGATGTGTCACAGTTTCTGGATGATCCCCACAGAAAGTACAATTAGTATTTATGTCCCTTTTAAATTTGACCATGTAGTGACTGGCTGGATAACATTTATGTAGAATTTTAAATGA